TTTGGTTCTGAGATTTTTGAAGTATGCATGTTTAAAGGAAAAGAATTTACTTTTATTCCGCCTGCTCCCAGTTTTTATGAGACATAGTCTTGGAACTATCATCCCAGTTTCTTGGGAGGCCAATATCCAAAGACTGAGATTCAAGGCCAAAAAGTTAATAAGACCCCCATTTTAATCAATAAGCCTGAGGTATGTAGTGGTATTTCATCTGTAATCATAGCTATGTGGGAGACTGTAGGTAGGAAGATTACAGACTGAGGCCAGTCTTGGGAAAAATCTTGAGACCTCATCTGGAAAGTAACAAAAACAAAAAAAAGCATTAGAGGTGTGGTTCAAATGGTAGAGCTCCTACCTAGCAAGCATGAAGTTCTGAGTTCAAGGCCCAGTGCCATCAGGATGAGGAGGAAGAAGAGGAGAAAGAAGAAGAGAGAGAAAGAGTGAAAATCTCTGTTGTTCAAGATGGCCTCCAACTCCTGGACTCTAAGAAATCCTTCTGCCTCAGCTATGCAAAAGAAAACAAAAACAAACAAACAGAAAATTTGGTAGAGGTGGTACTGAGCTAGATGTCCAGGTTTATATGGACTTGAATGAATTATCCTTCTTAGAAGTTTGTTTTGATCTTAATTTTCTCCCTTTATTCTAACCTTGAATATTTTCAATAATGCCAATTTTATTAGGTCTTGTGTTTTTGTTGTCTGAAATACATAATAGAGATTCAAATGCTGATAGTGTACTTTCTTTCAGGTATGTGTCAATTGGAGAAAGTCCAACCTCCCTGCTCGGGAAAAAGCAATGCTAGAGTTTGCACTTGCTGTTTCCCAAGGTGATGACATAACAGATGACCATTTCACAAAGCTGGAGGCGCATGGCTTCAATCGAGAAGATGCCTGGGACATAGCTTCCATTTCAGCTTTTTATGCCATGGTCAACCGCTTTGTTAATTTTGTCAATCTCATTCCCAACAAAGAATTCTATTCGATGGGCAGAACCAATGATTCTAATAGCATGCTCAGTGATCTCACTGGCCCCTGACAGGAGCAGTAACAGGAAAGGCCAGTGTTTATTATTTCAGTCATGTAACATACCAGTTGGTATATTACAAATCTAGGCATTTTTTTTAAATCTAGGCATTGGATGGAAAAGAAAGTAAATAAATAATTTTGTTCCCTGCTCGCCTAATGAGATAGATTCTAAGTGCTATGGGTATCTGGGGGAGATTGTTACTTGGGCCTGGGGCACGTATTTCAGAAAAATCCTAATTTACTTGTGTTGTGATCTAACAGGAACATCGGGGCAAAGGAATTAAGAGGATGCATTAAATATTTTTGAAGAACTGATGATAGCTAACATACCAACTATTACGGTTGAAAACCAATCTGTACATAATGATTTGAAATGAATTCCTTATACGCAGAGTTAACATGGTTAACAGAGTTAAAGGCTCTCAAAGGTAGGAGCAGCAGCAGGCTCAGTTACAGTTTAGTTTTAGTACCTTTCAATTAACCTGAGATGTTTTTCCTACTGATGTACTTTAGCAGTCCTTATATCAACAGTTGTTTTTTTTTTTTTTTTTTTGTGGGTCTTGAACTCTGGGCCTGAACACTGTCCCTCAGCTCTTCAGCTCAAGGCTAGCGCTCTAGCATGTGAGCCACAGTGCCACTTCCAGTTTTCTGTGTGGTTTATTGAAGATAAGATTCTCATGGTCCTTACACCCAGGCTGGCTTTGAATCTCGATCCTCAGGTCTCAGCCTCCTGAGTAGCTAGGATTACAGGCGTGAGCCACTGGCGCTTGGCTGTATTTTTTTTTTCTCTTTCATCTCAGCAATTCACAATTTATTCCTGCACCATCAGCTAAAAATCTGGCAAACAAGCACACAGAGCAGGCAGACTGCCCCCCCCCCATTTATACCTAACCTGCAGGCCCTGCTTCCTTATTTAGATTGATTGAGCTCAGGTTCATAATCTGCTTGTGATTGGCTTTTTCAGAATAAGGTAAAATGTATTTACATTAGGTGACTTTGAAATAAGATTGACAGTGTACAAGTAATCTCAAAAATATACCCATACTCTCTATATCATGTATTCTTATTTTCAGTTTTAGTAAAAACTATTTGGAGTACTCACACTGTATATAGTAACAATTTAAAAAACTGGCAGTTTTTTTTAAATTTAATTTTATTTGTGAACATACCGTACAGAGGGGTTACAATTACATGGGCAGGATAATGCGTATATTTCTTACCAAGCATTGCAGCCTCCTCCTTTTGTTTACCCTTCACATCCCTTCCCAGCCTCCCCCCCCCCCCCCAATCCCAATCCTTCTCCTTCCCCCATCCCTCCCCCCCCCCCCGACGTTGTAAAGCTCGAAAAAACTGGCAGTTTTAAAAATTATCTGTGTTGAATTGCTGCCTTAAGTTTATAGATGGCATTTCAAGAATCATCCTCATTAACTAACAGTTACATACAAATCTACAAAATATTTTTGCTCCTAGATTCTGAGTTGTCAGTGAACAGTTTTTGATCAGCTTTGAGGTTATGGTATATTAATTCTGAATCCCTTGAACTTGAAATCTGGTTATCTTGTTCCTTGCAGAACACATGTTATTCTATTGGAATTATACTTAAAATATCTTGGAATACATAATCTATCAAAGCTGAACATTGAGCCAGCACCAGTGGCTAATGCCTATAATCTTAGCTAAGTGTAAGGTCCATTCCTGGATGGCGAGCAGACCCCACCCAGTACCTGCTTTACCTAGGCAATTGGGACACCTGGAAGAGGTCTCATCTGCATCCCGTGAGGTCACATCTGAATCTGATGTGGCCACACCTTTCTCCCACCTGGTCCCACTTCTTACCTGGTCCCACTTCCCTTTACCTGGACACACCTTTCCCCGCCCCTACCCTATAAAAGGCCTAACCCAGGGCCAGACGTTCTGTTTTGCCAGCCGAGTGGAGTGCCAACCTTGCCTGGTCCCAGCAGGTCTACTAAATAAACCTATCCCTTACCTGAATACCACGTGCGAGGTGCTGTTCTTACTTGAAGTGCTGTTCTTACTCGGCTACCTCTTTTTAAAATCCTAACACTTAGGAGGCTGAGAGGATCTTCAGTCAAAGCCAGCCAGGGCATAAAGACTGTTAGGACTCTTACCTCCAATAAACCACTCAGAAAACTGGAAGTGGTGCTGAGCATCAAGTGGTAGAGCACTATCCTTGAGTTGAAGAGCTGAGGGACAGCGCCCAGGCTGAGTTCAAGCCCCACAACTGGAAAAAAAAAAAAGTTGAGAATTGTTACTAAAAAGATAATCATCTGGGTGCTGGTAGCTCATGCCTGTAATCCCAGCTATTCAGGAGACTGAGATCTGAGGCTGCTGGTTCAAAGCCATCCCAGACAGGAAAGCCCATGAGAAGCCTATCTACAATAAACTACAAAAACAGCTGGAAGATATGGCTCAGGTGGTAGAACACTAACTTTGAGCCAAAAAAGAAGCTCAAGAACAGCGCTGAGGTCTTGAGTTCAAGCCCAAGGGCCAAAGCTGAGTAACTCACACTTGTAATCTTAACTACTCAGGAGGCTGAGATACAGAGGGGCTCAGTTTGAGGCTAGTCTGAGCAGGAAAGTTCACTAGCCTCCATCTCCAAACCAGTAAAAGCAGAGCTGGAAGTGTGACTCATGCGGTAAAACACCAACCTAGCAATTGTGAATTCAAACTCTGGTACTGAAAAAAAAAATCACATTGGCAAATGTATCATGGTCAAGGTTTTGCAGGTCATTAAATTTTGACCATAATTTGGGGATGGCAGTAGCAAAGGGTCTCTACTACTTGTTGCAACTAGAAGTTGTGGGCCATAGGCACATTATTTGTTAATCATGAAACATGATGTTAATCATCTTCTGCTTTGTAGGGTTAATGTAGGAAATATATCAGCTGCCTTGATCTTTAGATAGACATTTACTTCTTATCCTTAGATCATGGACAGGAAAAACTGAGCAACTCCTCATAGAATGACTAGCTAAATTCATTCCTTTCCTCCAGAAATCTTTCCAGTCTATCCTCACAGGCTAGACCTTCTTCCAGATTATCACCAGCTGTGAGCTACAACACTGCTTTTGTTCAAGGCCTAGAAAAAATTTGTTCTTTCTGTGCTCCCCAAGCTCTCATTTATCAAGGACTCTGATTCCCTCCCCAAAGAAACCCGTAATCCCTGCTAGAGCTTTTCTGCAGACAAGTTATATGTGTCATCTTTGGCAGCTATGGTCATGTGTCACATTTGTCTTAGTCTCTATGACTGTCAGATGCGGTAGAAGCAGGACACGGTGGTATGTCTTCTGAGAAGTTAATTTGATTCAGGCCTGCAGCTCTCCAGTTACTCCAACATTGGTATAAATGTTTCTACCTACCTGGAGAAAGCTTCTGGCCTTGATAAAAACCTCCTGGGAGTGGGGTAGATATTCAGAGCACCAATAGGCCCCCTCTAGGCATTTTCTTTTGCCAGCGCTGTGAATGGAAGTTAGGTTTTTGCACTCTAGCCATTTGGGTCATACCCCCAGCCCAGGACCAGCTGCATGAGTTCTTGGCATATGTCCTTGGATTCCTAGAGGGAGCAGGCCTTAAGTCATGCCACTTTACTATCTATTCGGCACCTGCACGATGGGGACGACAGTACGTGTTCCTACCCAGCCACAACGGGGGCAGTGGCCCGCCGCCCCCTGACGGCCACCGACTGACTCTCAGTCGCACGCCAGTGCGGTCCCGGCTTCCTCTGTCCCCCTCCGGTCACAGCTTCACTGCTCCGGACCGGGATCCTCCGAGGCGGCGGAACCCGGAACCTGGTGGTGATTCCTCTGTCCTGGTCCCCGGAAGAGGGCAGCAGAGCGCAAGCGCAGGTTTCCTAGCCGACCCGCTTAGGACGCCGCACCCGGAAGTGGCGCTGGAGAGGGAGCACCGAGGTGTAGGCCAGCGGGACGGCGTCCTGAGCTGGGGGTGGGGGTGTCGGTCATGTTTCCCTTCTGGCCCCGCAGCCCGGGAGGAGAGCGGGCGGCCGGGGCGGAGGAGCCGGAGCCTCCCGCGGGGCAGGCGACAGCCTCCAGGCTGCCCTCTCCGGCTCCCCTGCCGGCGCCTCCACAGCCGGGCGCTGATGCGGTTCCTCAGCCGGCCGCCTGGAGCTCTCGCCTCCCGGGCACCCCCGAGCTGGCATCGCCCGGAGCTCGCGAGTCGTCGGCTGCCTGCGCCCAAGAAGAGCCGTCGCCGCCCTCCTCGCCGCGCCTGCGGCCCGGGCCGGACTGCGGGGCGGCGAGCCGGGGCCGGCAGGGCCCGAGCGCGGGCCTCAGCGGCCCGGGCGCCAGGTTGTTCGGGTGGCTGAGAGAACGAAGCCTGGGCCGGGGGCTGTTTGTGGACCCGGCGCGGGACAATTTCCGCACGATGACCAACCTGTATGGTTCCATTCACCCGGCGGACTCGGTGTACCTCAGCACCCGCACCCACGGGGCGGTCTTCAATCTCGAATACTCGCCCGACGGGTAAGCGCGGCCCCTCGGAGGGCGGGACCGCCTCCCCGGCTCTGCCGCCGGGGCCCGGGCACAGGTATCGGTGCCCGGAGCTCGCTCTGCTCGACTTGCTCGGGCTGAGGTTCTGCCAGTCCACGGGCGGCCTCCAGCCACCAGGCCTTGGTTCTTTCGGAAGCGCGCGTTCGCTGTGGAGCCCCTGTGACCTTTTGAAAGGAGTTAGGCAGGCTTGATTTATCCCCTTGCCTTCAGATCCAATCAATAGCTAAGGTTTTTTGGCACACAGTAGGCGCTCGATAAACACATTAAGATGAGGTTTTTTTTCTTTCTTCTGTCATCCTAGGCTTGCTTTTCTTTCATTTAAGCTGGTAAGAGTAGAGAATGCCTGCAGAATCTCTGCCCTTGCCGGAATCTGTCGGGAAGTGACAAGTGTGCATTCATCTGCTCTAGATAGATGCTAAAGTAGACCCTAAAATAGAAGGACGTTTGTTATGATTTAGACCATTATAAAGTTCCCAGGCTAGACTATTTGCATCTGTTAAGAACATCAGCTTTTTTTCTTGGCTGATTATGTACTTGATGTTTGGTCTTGATGTACTTTGGAGAATTTGAAGCATGATGTCTTGAAGCCGGGCCGCGGTGGCTCACGCCTGTAATCCTAGCTACTGAGGAAGCTGAGATCTGAGGATTGCAATTCAAAGCAAGTCTAGTCACCACCAGAAAACTGGAAGTCGCTCTGTGGCTCTTAAGTGGTAGAACGCTAACCTTGAGCAAAAGAGCTCAGGCCCGGCCCTGAGTTCAAGCTCCACAGCAGGGGAAAAACAAAAGAAAGTATCTTGTTTATATTTAAAACCCTGTTCTGTGAGTACACAGTCCAAGAGACATGTCAGGAAAAAAAAATTGCGCACAGTTCCACCCTGTAACGACACAGTTAATTCTTATCACATCAAGGCCTCAGAGTTGGGAGTATTTGCTTAGTTCCCCCTTCGGCAAATGTTTCTTGAGTACTTGCTGTGTTGTAAATGTAGGGATAACATTGATGGTGACTAAAATGAAAGCAGTTCCATCCCTAAGCTAATTTTGGTGGAAATATGTGTCTGTTTTCGAATCTTTCTTGAGCAGATAAACACACACTTGTCACCCCCTGGCAGGTTCTGGCAAGGACTAAACCCTCTTCTTAAAGCTCCCTTCTTCCTCCAAGCACCAAGAGTCTTCTATTCCCTATATCCTCTATTCCCTATATTCCCTATATCCTATATTCCCTATATCCTCTCTATAACTTTCTACCTATACTTTATAGGACTTTGCAGAAGTTGTGTCTGCCCTTTGAAGATGGTGTTTTAGGTACAGAATGGTGATGGTAGAATGAGTTAGGAAAATTGAATTCAAATTTGCAAGGGCTATTAGAATGACAGATAATACTGCCCATAGTTCTTATTTGGATCTGGACTGCATTTTCCCAGAGACATTTTAAAAGGTGGTTAGGTATTCTGATACTTACAACAATAATTCAACAATATTTAGTTACACTTATGAAAAACTTAGGCAATAAATGAGCTAAACAGCACTGTGATCCAAGATTAAATGGATTTCAAGAAGCTGGGTGCTGGTGGTTCATGCCTGTAATCCTAGCTATTTTGGAGGCTGAGATCTGAGGATCATAGTTTGAAGCCAGCATGGGCAGGAAAGTCTGTGAGACTATCTCCAAGTAATCACCAAAAAACCCCAAATAGAGCTGTGGCTCAAGTGGTAGAGTGCTAGCCTTGAGCAAAAAAGCTCAAGGACAGTGCCTAGGCTCTTGAGTGCAAGCCCCAAGACCAGCAGCAAACACCACCCCCGCCCAAAAAAGAAAAGAAAACAACCCAAGGATTCCAAGGAAATTTTCCTTTTATGTAGGTTTATTTTTAATCTAAACATATAACCATACCAATTTGGAGCTTGCCTTGTTTCCTTACAGTATATTGTGAGCTACTTATGTTAATGAGTAATTTTAACAGTGTTTTCAAATTTTTCATTATCTTAAAATATCTGTGAACAAATCTTTTAGATTTATGTCCTTAGAATGAATCAGATATTAAGATTTTATATATTAAGGTTCTGTCTGTGAAGATCCTACCAGTTCTCATTCCTCTCAAACATGTGGAGGTTCCTGTCATCCCATACTCTTGTCAACACTGTATATGACCACATTTTTTCATTTTGTCAAGATAAAAGTAATTCAATTTTTGCTTCATCTATTCTTAGGCCCGACATTTACACTGGAGCTAAAGTAATTTTATAGACAGATCATTTGTCTGTATTTATATCAGTGAATTATACATGCTTTAAGTCATTTTGCCAAATAGAATGACTGTCTCTTTCAAGGGCTTCTCAGTACAGAGACGGATCAAAAGAAAAAAAAAAAAGAATCTGAAAGACTTTCCTGTTCTGGCTGGCTTTGAGCCATAGTTCTTAGATCTCAGCCTTGTGGGTTGCTAGGATTACAGGCATGAACCACTGTATGAGGCTTGAAAGTGTTATTCAAAAGGTAGGTGAGATGCCAGAAGGAATGAAAAACAAAGAAAATAGTAAATATGTATGTAAAACTAAATGTCTTTGAGATGAACAAAAATGGAGCACAGAAAGACAATATATAATGAAGAAATACTGTAAGTTCCTGATATTTTTGACATATATATTTATTATGATATATAACTTTAATAGGAATACCAAAATTTTCAAGGAGCCAAAAGAAAGAAAATATAATTTTCACACTAGTAGAAGAAAATGTAAAGAATAAAGGGAAAAGTTCCAAAAGAAGGCAAGAAAAGGAAAATCAAAAAGGGCAGGGTCCTGTAGTTCAATAGCATATATAATACATATATGAAGTCCTGAGTTTGATCCCCAACACTACACAATAAAAAATAATGTATAATAAAAAGTATAAAGAGTAGCTAAAAATCCAAATAGTACTTGTTAGAATAATAAGGTACTAAATGTTCTAATTAAAGTACAAAGATTACCTCGGTATGGCGGCATATGCCACCATAGTCCTAGCTACTCAGGAGTTGGAGGCAGAAAGATTACTTGAGTTCAAGGCCAGTCTTAACACAGTGAGTCCTTATCTCAAAAAATAATAAAAGACAAAGATTGTTCAATTACTGGGGCGAAGAAAGTAAAAGGATATAAAGAGGTATCAGACACATTCTAAAGAAAACTGGTGAACTATGTTATTAAAAGAATAAAATTTGCTTCAAGAAAAAAGTTACTAGAGATAGAATGTCTCATCATAACATTGAAAATTCTGAATATGTGCCTGTAGATTTTAAGTGAGTCTGAACTTGAGTAAGTCAAAATTTGATACTTCAAAGAGAAAAGCAAATTTGCCATCATAGAGAAAAAATTAAAAAAATTTAGTGTACATCATGTAGCAACACATATAAGAGGGATACACAATATATGAACATTATCATTTCAAATCTTTAAAAAGCATTATAGAATACTGGGTTCATTCCTAATATTAAGCTAGTATGTACAGTAATTCAGCTGTACCAGTGATTAAATAATGATTTATAGCCATAGTTGTTGAATAGTAATTTCTTCAGTCTTGTTAAATGTCATCCTAGCACATCAGCACATTATTTGGGATTTCCTAGAGTAATCCATTATATAGTAATTAAAGAGTTATAAACTGGCACAGCAAGCACCTATCAACAAACATCTCCCTGGAGAACTATGGACTATTGTCTATTGTAATTGTTCCTTATCCTTGCTTGGCACCTCCCGACTTCTCCCTCTCCCCAATGTGTGTGTTTTCTGTGTTTTAATCTGTCTATGTCTCTGTCTGTCTGTATGTATGTTATTCATGGCACACACAGGTGCCTATGCCTGGTCAAATACCCAGGGATCATCTGGCTTCCCTAAGAGTTTGGAGCTACTTAACTTTCTCAGGCATTCTCTCTCCTCACCTCTCTCATGGTCGCTTGTGGATGGGCTGCTTCTGGAGAGATCAGAAATGAGAGCAATCAAATGAGAATAGTAATATTTCTACAGGCATCATCAAACATGATCTCTCTAGGCACCAAATATATTCTGATGGAGGAATAGAATGCACAGCAGATGAACTAGGCCAATGGAACCAGTTTAGGGATGAATGTAGATAAATATGAACTCCTGGCATGAAAATCCCTAATTTTTAAAAAATCACTTTTGTTGACTTGTACCATTATTTGATGGGGTAAGTTTGCCAAAACTTATTGAATGCCTGTTTACCATAGGCATTAATAGCTCTTATTACACGAATAAAAATGACCACCAAAATAAATCTTCTCCGTGCTAGGTTTGTTTGGTTGGCTACCTGAGAAACAAAAAGGTCATTAAATACAAAGGATTTGTACCCTGGCTTATGTGCTTAACTGTCTGTACTCCATTAACCTCATCTGGGCTGAGGGATTAACTTTAATGTAATCAAGTGTGATATGTCAAATTATTTTGTGACTATAATTAAACAGTATTGAATATATAAAACTGACAGTAAACTGAAGAGTTAAAAAAATTGTTCATTGTAACTTCAGTAAAAGCTGAAAAAGGATTCAACACCATTTTGTTGATATTTAGAGTGATTTTTTTTTTTAATTTAGGACTACAAGTTACTTAACTAACCCTTAGAAGGCTTTTATGTAATTTTCTATTCAGATAAGAGAGTCTAAGTCAAATCAAAGATAATGAGTATCATTTCCAAAGTTAACAAGCACATGTAAATTGGTAATTTCCAGAAGGTAGTGCATCTAGCATATTTTGATGAACAATTTCAACTACAACTAATATGACCTAGTAAGCACTTTTATAATCTAGGTGTTAGTTTATTTAGAAAATAAATGTGTGGTTTTTTTTTTTTGGGGGTCCGGTTGGGGCCTGAACTCTGGGCCTGGGCGCTGTCCCTCAGCTCTTCAGCTCAAGGCTAGCGCTCTACCACTTGAGCCACAGTGCCACTTCCGGCTTTTTTTTCTTTTTGCTTATGTGGTGCTGAGGAATCA